GTGTATGAAACCATTCATAGATACGTATCCGACCAAACACCATATCCTCGAACCACGATTCGATTAAAGGTCAACTCGGCAATGGAACACGCGCGAATACACAGAGAAAAGAAGGAGCATAACCTCCCGAATGAATATAAAGGGTATTCGGATGTCTTTGACAAAAAGAAGTCGGAAAGACTCCCCAAGCGACGGGAATATGATCATGCAATCAACATGAAACCAGAATTCGTACCAACAGATTGCAAATTATACCCATTGGCACCAAAGGAAGACAAAGCACTAACGGAGTTCTTAACGGAAAACTACAGAAAGGGATACATCAGGCCGAGCAAGTCGCCACAGGTGTCCCCTTTCTTCTTCATCGGCAAGAAGGATGGATCACTCCGACCATGCCAAGATTACAGAAAACTGAACACATATACCGTGAAAGACCCCTATCCACTACCCCTAATACCCGACCTCATCGAAAAATTGAAAGGAGCCACCATCTTCATGAAACTAGATCTGCGTTGGGGATACAACAATGTAAGGATAAAAGAAGGAGACGAATGGAAAGCTGCGTTTAAAACCAGCAAGGGAGTGTTCGAACCAATGGTCATGTTTTTCGGCATGTGCAATTCACCGGCAACATTCCAAAGGCTGATGAACGACAAATTCAAAGACTACATCGATGAAGGTTGGATGATCATATATATGGATCACATCCTCATCTTTGACACCAACATCGAAAGACTTTGAATCCGAACGAAACAGGTTCTACAAAGACTACGCGATAACAACCTATTCCTTAAACTGGAAAAATGCACCTTCAAAGCGGAAACCATTGAATACTTAGGAATGATTGTTTCCCACAATCAGGTATCGATGGATCCAGCCAAACTCGCTGGGATCCGCGATTGGCCAATCCCAAAAGACACCAAAGGCGTAAGGAAGTTCTTAGGTTATGGAAACTTCTACAGGAAGTTTATCGGTCATTACTCTGACCTTGCCAGACCCTTGAATGCCTTACTAGAAAAGGATAGGAAGTGGAACTGGACCCAAACTGAAGACAACACTTTCAAATTGATGAAACAAAAATTCCTCGAATCCCCCGTAACACAAATTCCCGACTCCTCGAAACCGTCAAGGATTGCTGCAAACGCCAGCAAACACGCCACAGGAGCTGTATTAATGCAACCCAATGACCAAGGACAATGGCACCCATGTGCATTTTTCTCCAAAACACTATCCCCCGCTGAAAAGAACTACCAGATCTACGACAAAGAGTTATTAGCGGTAATGAGAGTTTTAAAAGAGTGGAAACACTTACTTTTGGGAAGCCCCCACACGATCCAAATCCTGACAGATCACAAGAACCTGACATACTGGCAAGAAGCCAGGAAACTGACACCGCGACAAAGAAGATGGCAGCTGGAACTGTCACAATACAATTACACCTTGGAGCACGTACCAGGAACCCACATGGTGGTACCCGATGCACTCTCAAGAAGACCTGATTTATACGTCGAAACAGAAGGAGACGACGATGACACACCAATGATACCCACCTCAGCGTTCCTGTATCACACATGAACAATTAAAAACACAATTGAGCAAGCCATGCTCACAAACGATAATTATCCAGGAAGAACGAAGAAAGACGATTGGAGAAAAGAAGAAGGACAGTTCTTTTATCAGAATAAATTACTGATTGACGAAGTAGAAGAACAAAAGACGATCATCAAAGATCACCACGATTCCCTGTCCGCAGGACACCCAGGAAGGCTCAAAACCTACCAGTTGATCAAAAAGGCCTATTGGTGGCCAGGAATGATGAAACAAGTGGAAGAATACGTGAAAGGATGCGCAACTTGTCAACAAGCAAAAGTAAACACACATCCCACCACCGTACCATTAATCCCAAACCAGACCCCAAAAACCGCAGAACCAATGAAGTACCTATCCGTAGACTTCATAACTGATTTACCAGAATCTTCAGGATACGACAGTATAATGGTCGTGGTAGACCAAGGACTTAGTAAGGGGGTAATCCTCTCACCTTGTCATAAAACCATCAACGCACTCGAAACCGCACGAATCTTTCACGATTCTATCTTCAAACGATTCGGATTGCACGATAAACACATATCCGACAGGGGACCACAGTTCGCCTCTGAAGTATCCAAAGAACTCCAAAAACTCCTGAACATTGAAACTGCACTCTCCTCTGCGTATCATCCCCAGACGGATGGACAAACAGAACGATCCAATCAAGAACTGGAGATCTACCTCCGCATATTTTGCCAGAACCAACCACACAGCTGGGCAAAATACCTTACTACCGCCGAATTCTGTCACAACCAAAGACCACACTCCACAAACAACCAATCACCATTCTACCTCCTCATGGGATATAAACCCCGAGGAATCCCGACTAAACACAGATCCACGAATATCCCATCAGTGGAAAAATGATTATCCGAACTGCTTAGGGCAAGGGAAAACGCCCTAAAAGCACACGAACTCACGAGAAGCAAGATGATGAAACGAAACGACGGAAAGTTCAGGCGATTCTCCGAAGGACAAAAGGTGTGGTTAGAGAACACCAACCTGCGAGAAAAAGCCACCGAATACGGGGGTTTCAACATGAAATGCATCGGACCTTTCCGCATCCAAGAAAAGATTTCCCTAGTGAACTACCGACTATCCCTGCCTCCCCATTGGAGGATACACAATGTTTTCCACGCATCCCTTCTCATGCCGTATACGGAAACCAACACTCACGGCCCAAACTTTATCCGACCACCACCTGACCTGGTCAACAAAGAAGAGGAATACAAAGTAGAAAGTATTCTTAGACACAAACCCTGGAAACGCGGGCGCCGCTACCTGATTAAATGGCGCCATTACCCTCATTCCGAAAACTCATGGGAACCAGAAGAACATTTAACCAATGCTGCGGAGATATTGGAAGCCTATAAGAAGGACCACAAGCTGCGTTGAAGAGACAATCACCCCACTACCAACAATCCTCTGTCTCTCAACACAAAACATGTCTACTTCTAACTCCACCGGCTTCCCTATCACCACCTACTCGATACCTGGCGATGCCAATTTGCTAGCCGACGAACGAGTGTCTTTTGCCCGTGGGCAACGACACAACCAAGCCGACGTCACTGACGCCATAGAATTAATGTCAGCAAAAGACGCCTATACCTATCTCTTTTACGAGACCGAAAAACGCTGCCCCCATGCGTATCACGCTCTTTCTTCCATGCATACCTTCCTTGCCATAGACCTCATAGCTGACGAACTCCTAAAAGCCATAGACTCAATACATTTGTTGGAAAGCGAGCATTCGTGGCTCAACAGTCAGGACTTGAGTATCTGTCGGGCACTCCGGATGGAAAAGTTAGTTTTGGAATCTTTGGAATGATGCTTGAGGATGAGCTCCTCGAATGGGCAGATGGACTCGGCAAAGGAATATTTGGAATCAGGCGGGAGGACATTGCTAAACGAAGCTCGCACGCGGATAGAGCGAGACGGTTGTACGAGTACTCCTCCACCCGGTTTGTCCCTCTGGTCCCTGTCACACCCAGACCAGACCAGTGTTACCCCGGAGCGCACTTACCACATCATCACCCGTCAACCTACGCCCATCCCGTTGGAGGAAAAATACATTCCCACCGTCCCAACCAGCCCGATCTCTCAAGAGTCGAGCCACTCCAGTCCCCGTTCCATTGGAACGAACCCAAAACCACTGTCTCCCCCATCATCTCCACCTCGACCAGTGCCAAACGCCCAAACCCGTCGCCTGACGAACCGACGAGGAGCCCGACGTGGCTGGCAAGAGGTGATACTCCAGATCCCCGCCGCCAGAACTCCATCAAAATGGCAGTCTCGTATGTCGAAGGGACAGAAAGACAGTCCGCCTGGCGCAATGCACAGGCCTGAGACTGGCTCTCCCTCTAACCCAATCAACGTAGATGACAACGCAGCCATGATCGATCAGTTGTACGCAGGAACATACAACCTGGGAGATGACGATCCAACCACTCCTCAATCCGACACCTCATCCAACACCCGACAAAGATACTATGAAGGTGTTCGTAACAACGCTCCATACTGCCAAAACTGCGGTTGGAGCGATCATCGCACATACTATTGCGAAGCCTACTATTGCCCCGGCTGTGACCGTTGTGCACCGGGACATAGTTTCAATTGGTGTCCCATCCGCAGGGAAGACGAGGATAGGATTCTGATGGAAGGATTACATGGAGATGTCAGCTACAACGACAGATACAATATGGACGGTGAAGGTACTGAATTTCGGTGAAACTTGGAGCAAGTAAGGGGGTAATGTTACGATCTCTATTGGACATTTAAGGACTACTCATTTCTTTTTACTCATCGGTTATACCATTGGACCAATGACTCATTTCCTTCACGTACACTTCCATTCCTCTCGCATTCACAGTACCTATTATAGTACTTAGTCCTCAACAGACGGACCTGCCCTAGATAGGACCTAACTCCTATCACCAATTCCTTTCCATTATAAATACCATGTAACAGCAGTAATATTCTCTAATACGATTCTACGCAGTTTACGCTTACAAAGCTAGACTCTTAAGATCAGACTTCTATTCAGAAGAAGACCAACTCCCGTTGGAAAACCTCCACTCTGAACTACATTCTCGAACTTGTCTTCGGATAAGTCTCTTTACAAACCCCAACGAACCCTCAGACTTTGTTAAGCACTTTGTGTGTAACAGTGTTTGTCATTTCACTGTGCGCTGCTTCTGCTGCGGTTGTACTTTTGTTTGGGGTTTCTTTTACCAGTCCCCTCTTCTGGTGTGCATCTTTCATGTCATTCCTTACTTCTTTCTTTGTCTTTGATTCCTTGTATAAATATTTTTCATTTGTTTCTACAGTACATGTGGAATCATTAACAGGGAGAACAGAGAAAGGATTGACATGCTGAGGCTTGGCCAACTGATGCTTCATTGGTTGCCTCTTTAAAAATCCAACTTTAGAGCTTCACACTCTTCTTTTGATAAAGCTGCTATCATCGCGCGCAAATCAACTTTGCAGAACTTTCCAATGTGTCCTTTGACTCTGCATGTGAAGCAGAGTCCTTCTTTTCTGTATCTGGCTTCATCTATCTCCATGGGTTGCCTAGCACCTGAGTAGACAGTTCCGGTTCTGTCTTTGGTTCCGGAATAAGCCTTCTTTCCTCCTCTGTCATCCTTCCTCGTTCCGGCCTTCTCCGTCAGACCAAAATACCCCTTCTTTTCTTTCTCTCTTTCTCTCCATATCTGATTGTAATTTAAGAGGAGTTTCCTCCACTCTTCGTATCTGCTAGGTGGCAGTCCACTGACATAAAGCTTGTCCACAAGCATCTAGTCCATGTTTCTTTTTAACAGGGTGATCAAGATTGAATCGTCCCTGTATCCTGCCTTCCTTCGTAGGCTATCAAACTCTAAGAAAAAGTCTCTTGTGGTCTTACTTCCTTGTTTCAGTTGTAAGATCCGGTTCCTCGCTTCTTGTTCTTTGTAGTTGTTTTTGAAGGCTTCAGTTAACCTTCTTTCAAAGACTGCCCATCTTTGGTACTGTGCCCATTCCAATGCTGAGGTGACAGACATCTTGTCTTCTAGCCACTCGCTTCTAAAGCTCACAGCTGTGCCTTCTTTCATATACAATAGCACGAAGGCTATCTTCTTCTTTTCATCTCTGAAGTACTCTGGGTCTTCTTCAAAGTGAAGTGAGATGTGTTCTATGAAGTTTTTAAACTTCATTTGGTCGCCGTTGAAGGTGTTGGCATATCCTGTTTATGATACACTCACATCCTATCATTTTATCCTTTTATTTCTTCATTTCCATACACCATTCTTTCATCTCTACTTGACCGCTTTTCCACTACATTACATAAGCTCAAAACTTTCCCACACTTATTCCAAAAACTCGTAGCACTCTGCCTTACACAAACCTCAGTCTCTTGATTATAAGACTGGGGTATGTCTGGTTATTTTACAGTTTACTTTATATCATCATACTCACTTTACACTATTAGAAATACTCTCTTTTAGGTATATTATCCTTCAATATGAGTCTCTTGATTATAAGACTGAGAAATACTCTCTTTTAGTCTTCTCATAGCCTAACAGGTTATGAGCCCTGCCAGCTCACTTGATATGTCTTCTACAGCTTCGACATTCTCTGTACCCAAACTGGCCAAGGATGGCTCCAATTGGGTTACATACAAGTCTCGTGTAGCTGTGGCTGTTGGTGCCCGAGGTCTAACCAGACACCTGTCTGGAACTGCACGAAAGCCAGATCCTCTTGAATATACTAGGGATTCTAATGGCATAGCTACAAAAACCGACGGCACTACCCTTAAAGAAGAAGACATAGAAACCTATGAAACCAAGCTTGATGAATACACTCAGAAAGAATGTCTCGTCATCCAGCAATTATTTTCTACTGTTCACGACGAAACTCTCATCCAAATCCAGGACAAGAGTTCGGCAGCTACAATATGGCTTACCATTTGCCACATGTATTAAGAACAAAGCTTGAAGGAAGTGTCTAGCCACTTGCTGAGAGCAATCAGGGACTGGAACTAGAGTCCAATGTGAGTAACTAGAGAATAGGAAGCATTGGACTCTGCAATACTGTCCGAAGTTTTGTAAACAAAGGTAAACAAAGCAGCCACAAAGGCGAAATAATAGAGAACACAATCAATAGTGAATGATAGAAGAATAGATAGAGAAAGGAATGAAAATATATAGGTAGCACAAAGGTGCAGAATCACCAAAACTAACACTCCCCCCTGATGCTGCACCTCCCAAGCATCAGCTCCCCCCTGATCTAATAAGTCCCATCATCTTCCTGAACACTTCCACTTTAGGCTTGGCAAGAGCCTTGGTCAACAAGTCTGCAGGCATTTCAGCAGTGGGAACAAAGGTAGGAGCAATCTGCCCAGAGTCAACAACATCTCTCAACCAATGCCATCGCAGATCAAGGTGTTTCATCCGACCATGGTGCTCAGGGTTCTTGGATACAGAGATGGCAGATTGGTTGTCAATATGAAGGGTGGAAGGAGAGGTGATAGGATAGCCCATTTCCTTCAACAAATTTCGCATCCAGCAAATCTCTTTGCCAGCCTCAACAGCAGCAATGTATTCTGCTTCAGTGGTGGACAGAGCAACAATGTTCTGAAGCTTGGAGCTCCAGGAGACAGCACCAGATCCCATCTTGACAATATAGGCACCAGTAGAACGACCAGAGTCCTTGTCACCACCATGATCAGCATCAGAGAAAGTGGTGAAGAGTTCAGTGGAATTGGGATCAGGACCAAGGACAAGGGAATGATTAAGGGTGCCTTGCAAGTAGCGGAACAAGTGCTTGACAGCGCTCCAGTGAGTAAGACCAGGATTAGAGTTATATCTGGCAAGGACTCCAACAGTGTAGGCAATGTCAGGACGAGTGGTAGTGGCCAGATACATCAGAGCACCAACAGCAGCAAGGTAGGGAATGTCCTTCATCAAAGCAGCATCACTGGATGTTTTGGGAGACATGTCCTTGGTGAGGCGCAAACCAGGATCCATGGGAGTGGACACAGGCTTGCAGTCATTCATGCCAATGCGCTCCAGAATGTCCAGAGTGTACTGATGTTGGGAGAGGGAGATGGTGCGATTACTTAGGTCTCTAGTGATGGAAATGCCAAGTAGGTAAGAAGTAGGGCCAAGATCACGAAGCTTAAAGTGTAGGGAGAGGTCCTTGACAGCTTGGTCAAGTGCAGAAGTAGAAGTGGATGCCAGTGTCATGTCATCAACAAAGACAGGCAGGATAATGCGCACATCAGCTCTGTTAAAGACATAGATGGCAGAGTCTGAATAAGTACGCTTGAATCCGAGTTTTTCAAGCACAGTGTGCATCTTCTGGTTCCACATTCTGCCTCCCTGCTTTGTCCCATAGATGGCCTTGTCCAACTGGCAAACAAGATTGCGAGGACCCTGATGGAATCCCTCTGGCTGATGCATGTAGACCTTGACATCCATGACTCCATTCAGGAATGCATGGGAAATGTCAATGGAGCGCAAATGGAGGTTGTGGATGGCTGCAATGGCAAGGACAACTCTGATGGATGATATGCGGACAGTAGGTGCAAATATTTCGAGGAAATCAAAGCCAGGGCGCTGGTTATAACCTTTGGCCACATATCTGGCCTTGTAGCGCTCAACAGTGCCATCTGAGTTGCGCTTGATCTTGAAGACCCACTTGCCACCAATAGCCTTGACTCCAGGAGGTAGTTCCACTAGTGACCAAGTACCATTGCGCTCATGAGCTTGAAGCTCTTCCATGGCTGCCTCTCTCCATTTATCTGCATCAGGACGCTTCATTGCATCTGCAAACGACCTAGGCTCAGCAGAGTCTCCAAAGTGTGCCACTTCATCATCAACTGCCTCAGAATCACTGTCATCACTCTCAATGGCAGGAGTAGGTTGTCTGTGTTGAAGCCACCATGGTCTAGGTGGTCTCCTAGCCCTTACAGGGCGTCTCAGTGCAATAGGCAAGTCAGGAGAAGGTGAGCGATGAGGAGGGTGATTTGGAAGCTCAGGAGGTTGATTCACAGGTGGTTTTGCATCAAGGTCCAAATGAGGCCCATTGTCAGGCAATGGTTGAGGCTGCTGAAGCGCAGCTGGTGGGCCCATATCTCCCCCTGGACCTGGTGCAGGGACATCCTCAATCAGGCCCAATGGCATGGATAGCGAAGGTGGAGTGGGAGGTGGAGGCGGGACATCGTCAGAAGACCTCTTCAAGCCAGGGAAGTAGCGCTCATCAAAATCAGCTCTCTCAGAGATAACAGTGTGCTTGGTGGTAGGATTGTAGAATTTCCATCCCTTGTATCCCTCAGGGTAACCAATGAACACACATTTCTCCATATGAGAGCCAAAGACGCCTCTTTTGTCCTTTTGCACATGCACATAGGCAGTGCAGCCCCAAACGCGAAGGTGAGACATGTCAGGCTTGCGTCCATACCACAACTCAAATGGAGTGGCATGGGCCACTGCATCAGTGGGACACCTGTTCCAGACATGCACCAAAGCGGACAGACATTCACCCCAGAAGCTGTTAGGCAATGCAGACTCTGATAACATGGCAGTGATACGCTCAGTCAGAAGTCTGTTTGCTCGCTCTGCCACACCATTCTGCTGAGGACGATTCCTGGTGGTATGCTGTCTGACAATCCCATGATCATCTGTGAATTGCTCAAATTCCTTGGACATGTACTCTCCCCCTTTGTCATCGCGCAGAGCCTTGATTTTACGCTCCAATTGAGTCTCAGCATAAGCCTTGAATCTCTTGAAAGCATCAAAGACATCTGACTTGGCCTTGAGAGGCACAACAACACGGAATCGACTGTGATCGTCAATGAAGGTGACCCAGTAGCGATAACCAGAGAATGTGGGGGAAGAGACTTGGTGTACATCAGAATGGATGAGGTCCAAAGGATGAGCAGAGCGAGTATCAGATGAGGGGAATGGATTGGCATGCATCTTGCCAGACAAGCACGGTTCACAGACAGGATCAGGAGCAGCCTTGGATTCCAGTGTAAGCCCAGTGACCAGATCTCTCTGTATCAGTCTCTTGACATCAGCATGATGGTGGTGAGCCAATCTGCGATGCCAGAGCATCAAATCAAGTGGTATAGTCGCAGTAAAATGTCCCAATTCAACACAAGCAGCAGTAGATCCATCAAGGAATGCTGCATTGTTGTCATTGATAGTTGCAGTGAACAAGAGAGTGTTGTCACGCATAAAGGACATGGAATGAGACAAAATAGTGACATTGAAACCACTTTGACGAGTTAAATACAAGACTGAGAGGAGATTATTTCGAAGATCTGGTACATGGAGCACTCTAGAGAATTCCACAGCCCTAGCCACTTTGCCATTCATCACAGGATTAAACACCACAGTACCAACACCAGCTGAATAGACAACAGTGCGATCAGCCAGCTTGATTGGCACACGATATGGGGTATAGTGGTGCATCCAATGACGATGAGGTGTCATATGCACTTCAGTCACCCCCAAAACATAAGCATTTAGCTTCAACTATCTGTGTAAATGTATAAAGCTAAGAGCTTGTTTTTCCTGGTATCATCCCAAGTGCTCCAGCAAGGATGGGATCATCCCAGAAGTGGGATAATACCACCCTTCTGGGATTTTCCCATGGTATCAGACCATTTGTTATGGTGGGATAATCCCATTAGATGGGATAATCCCAGACATTTGCCACATGTCACATGGTGTCAGGGGGGCTTTACTGCAAAAATAGTTCCTGCATAAATGTAGCCAACATCAATACATTATCAATAGTACTAATAGCCATAAAGCAGAATACAATACTACCTGCTTTCATCATTTATAACATATATACAAATTTCAAATGGTGTTTACTCTCAATTGAACCTTAATTTGTCCAGCTTCTAGTGTAATATCATATACTATAGATTGATGGAGGAGACTTTGACCAAAGGTTAGTGTAACTAATTGTGACATATAACCATTTACAAATTAACCTGATTTAATTCAGTTGATTAGGAGATAATTCAACCATATCTCTTTTCCTTAACTGACTATATAACTTTGTCATTCCTACTTATCATATAATTTACTGCATATCACAAAGTAGATTTATCTACCCTGGATTTCTATCAATGTTACTTAAAATGGCTTATAGTCAAAGGAATACAAGATGTTTGACAATACCAAGCATATACATCTGCAGGATTACAATACCTCTCATTCAGGCTCATCCAACTTTAAATAATGTAACACTCTTGCAACCAGGCAAAGATATATCACAAATCCCTTTAATGTGCTGATCCAAAACCCCCCGCTATTTTTTTGAATTGTGCAGCTTTATCCAAGTGCCTGAACTGAAAAATGCACAAAGATACCAGTCCGAGTAAGTACTACATATTCATTATCCTTCCCTCTGCTGCATCATTGTCAAAGGCAGAACATGTCTTGCATGAGACAAATTGCTGGCTCTTTGTGGCAGCCCAGCATCCACAAGCCAACACCCATTTTATCCACTATATGTCCCCACGCATACAATTGATTATAAATTTTTGTGAAAACAAAAATGGCTGAAAGGTGTGCTCTGCATGCTTATGCAATTTCATGTGACTTGGGATGAACCTACGTGAGGGCTACTCTGAATCACTGTCCCAGTTCAACCTTAGGTTCATCCAGGTCCTACCATAACATAATAGTTGGTTTACAAACAAAATACTGCAACATGTAAAAAATGGAAACTGCTGGAAAAGGACAATAATATTTTAAGCTGCTGGGAACTTACCTATGATTATATGTTACAGAATAACCTTAGTGCATTTCAGGAGTATTTTCCCCTGTCATGCTGAGTCACCAGCAGCCTAAGCATGCTATTCGATAATTCTGTTCCTGTTGTGGGATCTCCCTGTCCTATTCTGACTCAGGGTGATCTTGTCCCCTGCTTGGATTTGTCTGTGATGTAGTGAGATGATGCTATGTAATTTGGAGATTTTTCTAGATCAGATTGAACTGGAATGATCCCATCTCTTTCCAAGACTTTCCTTGGCTGGTTTGGGATGATGCTTTACCCTTCAGGCATTGGTCCATATCAAATTGTGATGATCCCATCCCATTTGGTATTTGTCCACATTTAACTGGGATCATCCCCTTTTTTGCTGGGATTTTCCCAGATTGGTTTGAGATGACCCTATCCCCCCTTGGTATTTGTCCATGTTGAACTGAGATTTTCCCAGATTGATTTGGGATCATCCCATCCTCTTTTGGTATTTGTCCATGTTGAGCTGGGATCATCCCATCTCTGGCTGGGATTTTCCCAGAGTAGATTGGGATCATCCCATCCTCTTTTGGTATCTGTCCATGTTGAGCTGGGATTGTCCCATCTCATTTGGTATTTGTCCATGTTTAACTGGGATCATCCTATCTCTTGTTGGGATTTTCCCAGATTGGTTTGGGATCATCCCATCCTCTTTTGGTATCTGTCCATGTTGAGCTGGGATTGTCCCATCTCATTTGGTATTTGTCCATGTTTAACTGGGATCATCCTATCTCTTGTTGGGATTTTCCCAGATTGGTTTGGGATCATCCCATCCTCTTTTGGTATTAGTCCATGTTGAGCTGGGATCATCCCATCTTATTTAGTATTTGTCCATGCTTAACTGGGATCATCCCATCCTTTGGTGGGATTTTCCCAGATTGGTTTGGGATCATCCCGTCCTCTTTTGGTATTTGTCCATGTTGAGCTGGGATCATCCCATCTCTGGCTGGGATTTTCCCAGAGTGGATTGGGATCATCCCATCCTCTTTGGTATTTGTCCATGTTAAGCTGGGATCATCCCATCCTATTTTGGTATTTGTCCATGTTCAACTGGTATCATCCCATCTCTTACTGGGATTTTCCCAGATTCAATTGGGATCATCCCATCCTCTTTTGGTATTTGCCCATGTTAAACTGGTATCATCCCATCTCTGGCTGGGATTTTCCCAGAGTGGATTGGGATCATCCCATCCTCTTTGGTATTTGTCCATGTTAAGCTGGGATTTTCCCAGATTCAATTGGGATCATCCCATCCTATTTTGGTATTTGTCCATGTTAAACTGGTATCATCCCATCTCTTGCTGGGATTTTCCCAGATTCAATTGGGATCATCCCATCCTATTTTGGTATTTGTCCATGTTCAACTGGGATCATCCCATCTCTTACTGGGATTTTCCCAGATTCAATTGGGATCATCCCATCCTCTTTTGGTATTTGTCCATGTTAAACTGGTATCATCCCATCTCTTGCTGGGATTTTCCCAGATTCAATTGGGATCATCCCATCCTCTTTTGGTATTTGTCCATGCTTAACTGGGATCATCCCATCTCTTGCTGGGATTTTCCCATATTGGTTTGGGATCATCCCATCTCATTTGGTATTTGTCCATGCTTAACTGGGATTTTCCCAGATTGGCTTGGGATTATCCCATCCTCTTGTGGTATTTGTCCACATTGAGCTGGGATCATCCCATCCCTTTATGGTATTTGTCCATATTGAACTGGGATGATCCCACCCCCTTCTGGTATTTGTCCATGTGAGAAGTGGGTAACCCCATGTTACGTGGGGACATGTACAGATTTAACTGGGATGATCACACCCTATTTCAGGGATTTGTCCAGATCAGTGTGGGATGATCCTCAGTAAAAAAAATCAAAAGTTGGGCAATGTCAATGGTCAGAATCAGTTTTGAAGGAAATTACCTGAGTTCTACATATTGCCATAAAAATGATAATCCAAAAAGAGTGGTGTGAGACAGCATCACTATCATATGAGAGACAGAGAATGTTGGCAGAAACCTTACTTGGCATGAAAAAATATTTTCCGGATTCATTTCAATTTCTCAAGAATCTAAAAAAAGAATACCTTTACAGCACTCAGATTCTTTGTGGACTTAGATACTGTACTATACACAGTCAGCATATAGGCACCAGTCACCCCTTAGACCTTCAGCTGGTAGCTCCCAGAAATGGCACAACTCAAGGTATTAAATACCTAAGCAGTGCCTAATTAATCCTCACACTCAAGTCATCTAGTGTAGGAGTATCAAAATGGAGATCTTGTGTATTATACTGTACATAGCAAGCATCCCCCTCTCCCCATAGACCTTCAGCCAGCAGCCCCCAGGAACCACTCTCAGAGAATGTACAATATAAGGTATCAAATACCTTGGTAGTGCCACAAAAGTGGTAAATTCATGTTTTTGCAAGAACATGACTTTATGTTTCTTTTTACTATGTTTTACTTTCTACAAGGTCAGGATTTTCCTCACAGAATATGCCAGATCTAGTGTAAATCTAATATTCGATGTCCTTCTGCAGATTACTTTGTTGTCACAGCATTTGTGTTGTGTTTCCTAGTTTTTACTTCAGTTAAGGGTATAATAAACCTTGCAAAAAAGCAGAACTCACATATCACATCTATCAGCAAGGACAACAGCATCTTTCTAGTGTATGGTTCCTGCAATTGATTATATCTAGAAATTGATAATGTTCCACATTTAAAAAAAAGGGAATGCTTCTCCCCAAATTTGCAGTAAGCTACAATGAGGAACTTGTAACTCATATATTTCAAAATAGTCTTGATTATATTGGGCTAAAGTACCATTATTCAGGTTGAAAAGACTAGAAATATCTTCACTAGTTGGCCCAGCATTCTCACATGTTAGTATTAGCACCAATCCCCCTGATACCATGTGACATGTGACAGGTTATTGGGATTATCCCATCTGAGGGATAATCCCACTATGGTACATGGTCTGGTACATGGAGCACTCTAGAGAATTCCACAGCCCTAGCCACTTTGCCATTCATCACAGGATTAAACACCACAGGGATGATACCAGGAAAAACAAGCTCTTAGCTTTATACATTTACACAGATAGTTGAAGCTAAATGCTTATGTTTTGGGGGTGACTGAAGTGGTCATATGAGAAGTGGCGCCTGTGTCTGCATTCCAATCAATGTCAGCATCAAGTTGGAGAGGGCAATGAGGATCAGAGGGATGAATAGAACGAAGACTTGCATTCCCAGCTGATTCAGTGACCACAGTAGATGAATTGGCATTGTTAGGCGAAGATTTGGGCTGCTGAGAGGTATTCTGAGAGTTGCTGGAGCCTGCCTGAGCCTTATTGCCACGCTTGTAGCGATTCTTAGCACCCTCCACTGCCTGTTGGCGACTAGCAATGTATCTGTGGCATTTGTCTTGGGTATGACCAAGTAAACCACAGAAATCACACTGAACGCGAGTAGAGGTGGTGGATTGGTTGCAATGATGGCAGTTAGGATGGGTGCAGGTGCTATTGGCAGTGGTAGACGAAGAATGCAAGGCAGAATCGACTTCAGCACGACGACGGCGATTGACCTCTTCAGCAAGGAAAGCATCCTTGAGCTGGGTCTTGTCCAAGGTGCCCAGAAGTAGTAGAGATGAAGTGAAGTGGGCATATTGATCAGGAAGCGCCCTAATCATGGCCATGCATGTCAATTCATCGTCCAATTCAGACAATGAGAAGCCAGTAGGACGAAGATTTTGAATCTGATGCATGCCTTCATCAATTCTGGTCATGAGAGACTGCAGGGACTCGTCCTCCTTCTTTCTGATAGAGAAGAAGTCGTCATAGGCATTAAATCTCGTCCCAGGCTTCTTAGAGACGTGCACAATTGCCAGTTTCTCCCAGATCTTGACAGGATCATCAATGATGCCATCAAGATGGATGCGCTGCTCTTTGGTGACATTGAGATATAATGCACCAGCAGCCTTTTCAGCTCTCAACTCCCATTTCTCTATTGCTTCAGCGTCAGTCCCAGGACACTTTTCAGCGCCAGAGACGAGCCTCCACAGTCCCTTGGTCATCAACCAAGCTTGCATTTCACCACTCCACTGGGGGTAGTTAGTGCCAGACAAGGGATGGAATTTGGGATCAGAGTCAGACATGATGGGTGTTGTATAAGACAATAGAGCAATGATAAATGATGTAGGAGACGGCTATAGGCGATGGAATAGTGGCAAAGACAATGGGCAACAGTAGGAGGCGAGCAGATAAGATGGTGAGGCGGTAGAGAGACGATATGGAGAGGGTCAGAAAGCGCAAGGATAGGTCCAAAAAGCGTCCAAAAAGCGTCCAAAAGCGATCCAGGAGGGTGCTAAGGCTTCCTAGTGCTGCTACAGGGTTACGCCTGTGTTCCCCTTTCAATTCCACACTGATATTAACAGAGAAATCGCCTCGAGACAGTGTTGGTTAATAGGGCTTGTATATGAGTCAACAAAGTGACTTAAGCTCCCCAAACACCGCAGACTGAGAGAGGCTCTAGGCAACAGCAAACTGAGGCAATGCAGGCGAGCTTCACAGTCTATAGGCTTGTTCTATCTGATAATGGACAGAGTAGAGAAGATTGGAGCTTTATGCACACACCAGATATGCCAAAAAGCGAAAAATAGGGCAAAAAGTCGAAATTGATGCAGAGACAGATAAGATGGATGGATTGCCACCAAATCAGAGGTATAGGGAACGTTTTTATAGAGTAATAGATGGCCCAAATATCACAAGAAGTGAAGCACAGGATGTGGAGATATGCAATAGGAGTCCAATAGGGGTGAAAGTGCCAAAAATGCGAACTTCACAGAGGATGATGGAGTGGATGGATTGCCCCCAAATTGACGGTGTAGAGTGCAATAGTATAGGGTAGTAGATGGCTCAAATAGGGCCAAGATCCGAGCACAGGATGTGGAGATATGGAATAGGGGGCCAAAAGGTGATCAAATGATGATGAAGGCTCACAGAAAGATCCAGCTCAAATTCAACCGCTCTGACAGGTCTCCTAGGGTTATTTAGGCCGTAGAAGACGATGGTAGAAGTTACAGGACGATCAGATAAGGATTGGGCGAGATATGGTGCAGATAAGACCAAAAAAGCGTCCGAAATGGGGGTAACTTGCAACAAGGAGTTGTTGTTGGAGATCAAGATGAGATCAGAGTAATCTGAGGTGATTGATGAGATAATAAGAGTCCCAGAAGACAATGGTTACGATGGATAAGCAGTAGGATGCTTGGATGGTGAGATATGAGGTCAGGAAGATGGCTAGAGCACAGGGCTCATAACCTATTAAGAACAAAGCTTGAAGGAAGTGTCTAGCCACTTGCTGAGAGCAATCAGGGACTGGAACTAGAGTCCAATGTGAGTAACTAGAGAATAGGAAGCATTGGACTCTGCAATACTGTCCGAAGTTTTGTAAACAAAGGTAAACAAAGCAGCCACAAAGGCGAAATAATAGAGAACACAATCAATAGTGAATGATAGAAGAATAGATAGAGAAAGGAATGAAAATATATAGGTAGCACAAAGGTGCAGAATCACCAAAACTAACAACATGCATGAAGGCAAAACGGAGATGATGCAGATTGACATCAGGCGCCGCTTACAAAATATGAAATGCACTGAATCTACAAATGTCCGAAGTCATATAGGAGACATGCTAAAGCTCCGAGAGCAATTAGCAGGCATGGGAGCAACAGTCGAAGAGAAGGACTTCTCTGCTATGATGTTATCTTCCCTCCCAGATTCCTATCGTCCACTACTCTCATCAATCCTAGCCGCCGCTCGTATATCCAAAAATCAGCTTTCGGCAATGGATATAATTGCTCATGTAACTGAAGAAGCAGACACACGAGCAATCTCTGCTCAAGCCAAGTCCGAAACAGCCATGATGGCCAAATCCGGTTGGAAGGATCGTAAGGCCGAAAGAAACAAACGGTACAAATGCACCAACCCTAAATGCCCCGTCAAAGTTGGTCACACTATTGAAAGGTGCTTTGCACCTGGCGGAGGCCGAGAAGGTCAAGGCCCTAAAAACAAGGCTAATCCAAGGGACAATCAAGTAAATCCTCCTCAGGCGGCACAGGGAACAAATACTGCAGCCACTGCAAATATAGCTGCAATTGCTCCCAAACATGAGAACGACGAGATATATGCCTTTGCTGTCAGTTCACAGGTTACAGCTTCGGCAAACAAAGCTGAAACTCACATAAGTGATCATGAAGCCATCATTGACTGTGGTGCGACAGACCACTTCTGTCCTGATCGCCACAGATTCCAATCATATACGCCAATCGATCCTATACCTATCAACGCAGCAAATGGCGATATCATGTACGCCCGTGGCAAGGGCGACGTCACTGTTAATCTACCAAATGGGAACAAGTGCTCTCGTGTCATATTAAAAGACACGCTACACTGCCCTACAATGGCCTCGACACTCATATCTGCTAGTCGCATGGACAAGGCAGGATACACTGTTCACATAGGCGGAGGCATATGCGAGATACGCTCGCCCCCACCTGGCTGCCGAACAATAGCTCAAATCCCAGAAACAAAGGGCCTGTATCACATATCCAACGTCAGTAAAAATTACAAAAGAGGAGCATACCTTGCCAGCACAGTCACCATTAACGATCTGCACCGGCGAATGGGCCATATAGCCCATAAATCACTCAAGCACCTCGTTGATTCAAATCTAGCTGAAGGAATTGTCCTGGATAGTTCCGAGGCCATATCTTTCTGTGAGACATGTGTACAAGCAAAGGCCATCAGGAAACCTTTCCCAAAAACTAGCCACACTCGAGCTAAACATTATGCGGAAAGAATCCATTCGGATCTCTGGGGTCCGGCTATTGTTCAAGACTTGAAAGGAAAACGATACATGTTAACTTTCACAGACGACTTTAGCCGAGAAACTCACGTGCGTTTACTTGCAAAGAAAGACGAGGTTCTACAGATGTATAATAACTTTGAAGCCTGGCTCGACACGCAAAAGGATCACAGTAAAATAAAGATCCTGAGGTCTGATCGCGGAGGCGAATACACAAGCCTCAATTTTGATGCGCACCTGCAAAAACAAGGCACTGTCAGGGAATTAACAACCCATGACTCACCCCAGCAGAACGGCGTGTCAGAACGCCTCAACCGCACACTCATTGAATGTGCTCGTGCAATGTTATTTGGTGCAAATATGCCTAAATCCCTGTGGAGCGAAGCTATTAGGCATGCCGTCTGGATCAAAAACCGAGCCCCTACCAAGGCACTACAAGGCAAAACACCGTACGAAATAGTCCACGGCCGCATACCGAATTTATCCAATATTCATGAATTTGGATGCACAGCATATGTCAAAACTATTGACGCAGGCAAACTAGACCCACATGTAAAGGCTGGTAAATGGATTGGATTTGATGATGAGTCAAAGGGGCACAGAATATACTGGCCAGAACGACGTACCGTAAGTGTTGAACGCGATATCATTTTTAATCCACAAGAACATCTTACCCCATCCCAAACTGCCGAAAACGACGACGGCCGTATATTTGAAGAACCGACGGTCAACTCTACAAACGAACCGATCGAATCAGCAACTCACGAAAACGAAACTGTCGACGACTTACCAGTAGCCGTTCGCTCATACTCGCCTCTAAACAACCTCCAGCCTCATCCAATCCAACCAAACGCCATCCATCCCAATCCTGTCGCCCAGCCGCCTCCAAACGACCTTCAGCCTCCTCCTCCAGCTGTAATGAACCTCCCAGAACCTCTTGAAGTTGGACCAGGTCTTGCTGAGCGGCCTAAACGAGGAGAACCGAAGCCAGCAGGCTTCTATAAGGCCTTGCATGAGGGCCGCTTCACAGCCGCATCTGCATTCAACGAGTCAGCTGACTTGAGCGGCGAAAACGGCGAAAACGACGAAAACGACGAAAGCGCTTACCTAGGCGCTTGGAGCGCAGCCAAGACTGCAAACAATCGAACCGCTAGCGACAATCCAACCATAACTGAGGCACTAAACGGACCTAACAAGAAAAACTGGTTAGATGCCATAGATGAAGAATTGAAGCAAATAGAGAACTTGCGCACCTGGGACCTGGTCAAACCCCCGCCGCATGCCAATATAATACGCTGCCACTATGTCCCTCGAATCAAACGAGGACCAAACAACGAAATCCTAAAATTCAAGATTTGTTTAGTAGCGAATGGCAGCACCCAGATATATGGAATAGACTACAATGAGACTTATTCAGCCATGTCTCGTATGACAACCAACCGCCTGGTTCTCGCACATGCAGCAGCAAATGACTGGGAAACTCACCAGTTAGATATAAAGAGCGCATACCTAAATGCAACTCTTGACGAAGACATATACATGCATCCTCCACCAAACTACTTGAAACCCGAACAACAAGGGCTTGTATGCAAGCTAAACAAGGGTCTCTATGGTCTCAAACAG